TGTATCTCAATGTGAGGGTTCAAATGACTCTGTTGTTGCCATTGAAAATGGAGGAGATCAGTTTATCGACAGAGCTGATGATAAAAAAACATGTCCAGAAGTAGGGGGTTTCGATGAGGTTAGTAAGGATGAAACTCCCAAATCTACCCTGGAAGACTCTGCGATTGGTGCCTCTGATGAGCAAAATGTTCCTGCTGAGGTGGGGAAAGGGCCATTTTATATAATTAAGGTTCCAAAATTTGATGAAAAAAATTTAAGAGAGAAGGTCGAACATGCTAAATTTCAAGTTGAGGAGAAGAGTAAAAGTCGGGATGCTATTCAAGCTCAAATCCAAATTGAACGGGTTAGGAATTTTTGCAAATGCTCCATTATATTTCTGAAATATTTTATTTGTTTCCTGTCAATGTGACTGGTGAAATGTTTCCCTGTTAGGCCAAGCGTAAAGAGTACGAAGATAGTTTTACTGTTGCCAGATCAGAAGAAAAAAGGCACGTGACTTGCTTAAGGCCAAGCGGAAGGAAATAGATTCTGTTCAATCTGTAATTAACAGAATGAGGAATGTCCTTGAAATTGAGGAAATTGATGGCAGGGTATGCATGTTTCTTCTTTGTTTTCTCTTCTTTTTTCCCCCCAGTTCTTAACACACAAGTCTAAAAACTATTCTAAAATGCTTTCTGAATATGCAAATGTGCTAATTTGGCTGTTCATGTAATGGCCTGCAAGCAGATACGCACTATGGAACACGAGATGCAACATGAAACCCTGTCTTTGAAGGAAGAAAAGCAGTTTATTCGGGAAATCAAGCAATTGAAGCAAGCTCGAGAGCAGCTCTCTTCTAATATGGGCAGCCAGGACGAAGTTCAGCAGGCTATGGATCAGAAAGACCAAAGTGAAGAGCGCTTAAAGGTACTATTTACGGTTACTGTCATTGCTTTAACTGGGGTAATTTCTGCCAGGTGCAGTACCAGTTGACTGCTGTCTTCTAATAATTCTGATCACAGTGGAAATGGAATATATCGGACGCAAGACAATTTGTGTTCCAGAGGCCTAATGATCTATTTTTATTTTTTTTCATTTGCTTAGTCATACAATCAGGTCTTTTTTTTTTTTGAAGTAGTGTGGTTAATGTGTTGAATTGTTTTTTTGCATATGCAGTCTTTGAGGCAAGAAGCCGATGTATTGAGAGACAGCCTTCTCAAAGCCGAAGCAGTCACCCAAGATGCTAGGAAGAAATATAATGATGAACAGGAGAAGATAATCGGGTTGCTAGCTGATCATAGATCTGCTAACAATGTACGGCAAGAAGCATTTTCGCACTTACAGAATTTGAGGAAACAATCATATGAAAAGGTATGTTAATAAATTGTTTGCATGTGGATATTTTTATTTTTTTTAAAGAACTTTTGACAAAACTGGAAAAACTTTTGCTGTCAGTATTTAAAAATAAATTAAAAAAATTATGACAAACAGAATACCTTGAATATTCTGTTAGCATGTCATGAATGTTTACATTATTTTTTTTATTAAGTTTGTGTCAGTAGTTGAGCACAACATTGACGAGACTTTAATTGAGTTTTTTGTTGCACATAGATAGGGAAGCATTATAGGGAATAAATCTAACTTCAATGGATCTGGAGATGATGAGGCAATGAAACTTTTGCTAACAAGATTCTGTGTTATGAATTTTATTTCACTGGTGTTTTTTCTTTTTTTGTTTTTCCCAATGCATACTGGCTTTATATATAGGGGAACAGAGTTTGATACATTTTTGCTCTTCAAATCTCTCCCTCTAGTTTGTTGCAAGAAAGGTTTGGTAGCTACTGTAATAATTATTTCTTTCATTACCTGCCTTCTGCAAAGATAGTCAAATTATGCAAACTTAATATACTAATGCTACATTTTCCTTGAATTCCCAGAATAAATTTTTTTACAAGTACAAGGATGATCTAACGGCAGCAACTACTTTGGCATTAAAGGGAGACAGAGATGAACTTCAACGTCATTGTGCTAACCAGGTGAGTAAATGCAGTTTCTTTGTTACTTTTTTTTTCTCTCTCTTGTCTAATGTCAGCCATGTTTTGGCTTATTAACCAACAATTTAGGTGGAGAGAGTCATGGAACTGTGGAACAACAATGATGAGTTCCGGAAAGAGTATGTGAGTTCCAATATGAGGAGTACGTTAAGGAGACTGCGAACATTGGATGGTCGTGCACTGGGCCCTGATGAACAGCCACCCGTTATTCCTGATGTTGTTAGTCAAAGAGTGGTCAAAGACAACATTGCACCATCAACTCCTGCTCTTGAAGTGGAAAAGCCAGTTGTACCTGTAGAGACCCAAAAGATAGATGACAAATCCACAGCAAAGATTGAGGACAAAAAAAATCAGACTGTTAAAACTAAAAGGCATGCAAAACCTGATTCTTTGGAGAATGGTTTGCCAACTGTTTCTGGGAGGCATCAGATTGAAGAACCAAGACAAGAGGAGAATAAGCAGACAAAGGAGGAAGAAGAGTTGGCCAGGAAGGCAGAGGAATTGAAAAAGGAAAAGGATGCAGCCATGTTAAAGGAGCAACGGAGATTGGAGGAGAAGGCCAAAGCAAAAGAGGCCTTGGAGAGGAAAAAACGAACTGCAGACAAGGCCCAGGCCAGGGCCTTGCAAAGAGCACAAAGGGAAGCTGAGCAGAAAGAGAAGGTAAATTCTGCAAAAAATTCCTATATTGATTGTGGTATTACCGAGGTTGGAATGACATTGCAAATATCTGGCCAAAAATTGTCAGTGTGTTAAATTTTATAGTTTAACTCCTTTCCCTGTTTCTCTGTCATTAGATGGATGGATATGTTAGAATTTTGTCATTTGGCTGTTCGCGTCTTGTGTATTAATTGGCTAGTGAACTATCCATTAACGCAGGAAAAGGAGAAGAAGGCAAGGAAGAAGGAAAAAAGAAGGCAGCAGCAGAGGATACAAAAGATATTGATGACGTCGAATCTGCTCCTAGTTCTGAAACTCCAACTGAAACCAAGGAGGCTGAAAGAACTGAGAATCCTGTGACAGTGACAAAGAAGCCTCTAAAGCCATCACAGTTTGCAAAGCAAACCAAGGCAAAATCTATGCCTCTGCCACTTCGCAACAGGGGTAGGAGAAAGATGCAGACATGGATGTGGGCCCTTATCACGCTGCTGGCTGTTCTTGCCTTGTTTTTTATGGGGAACAGCAGCTTCTTTAACTTTGGGCTGCAACAAAGGTCTGGCATCTAAATATATAATGTTCTTATTCTTTAGATAATCTACACAGAGTGTTTGGCGAGGTTTTCCTATAGATATTTAATTAAGCAATTCTTTTGTACCCTTCCAATCTTCCTTTCCATCTAAGTTTGCTTTAATTACTCTATGGGTTTTGACTTTTACACACCCCATTGATAGGTTGGTTGGTTTTTTTCTGTCGTATGCCAACATTAACATAAATCTTCTGGTATTGATTTCATTTATTTAGTGTGATATATTATACAATAAGGACAAGGTTTTTTTGGTTTGGTATCTCTCTCTCTCTCTCTCTCTGTCTGAAAATGTATGAATTCTGCTGTTTTTTTTTTTTCCTTTTTCCCTACCGAAGTATAAAATGGTAGCAAGGGTCCAGAAAACCAGTGATCTCAAATGATGTTTATTAAGGAGGCTTTATTTAATCGGTGCAATGATCCAACCAAAATATTGAAATTGTTGGTGGATTTGGTCAGTGGAACTGTGTGATAGGATTAGTCTTGTCTGGGTTAGTCTCTGGTGCATTGCCTTCCTAGAACGGAATGCAAGAAAATGGTCTCGTACGGCACTTCGAGTTTAAAATATCACTGGTGGCTTGCACGGTAATAGATTTTGATTTTCTGTGAGTTGTGTTTCTAACTAACAACCACTTTTCGACCACCGGTCCACCACTCGTAAACAACCTTTCCCCTCTAGATCCCAAAGTCTTCTTGTTAAAATCAGAAAATGGCATGGCGTTGTAAAAATTAGATTATATGACGGTAGTCTTACCATCTCAATCTCTGCATTCTTCAAACCATTAGCATTATCACCATCTTCAATCTCTACCACCCTTCGACATCATAAACCTCAGTCTCTTCAACCCTTAAATCAATCCCATTTCCTCTTATGTATACAGCCATTCCGTGTTTATTCTAGTTTTTTTTTTCTTCATTTTAAGACAAGGAAAGCAGTTGAATATTGCATCATTCCGCACCCAGATGGCATACTAACCACGAGCAACACCACCTCATCACTGCTATGCTACGGTGCTGCTGTGCAGGTGCTACCGTAATCAAAACTGGTTAGAAGGTTGGGAGATGATACAAGTACGGAACTTGAGAAAACTCTTTGAAGCAAAGCTACACTTACTGTGTAGCTTAAAATCAATTACGCCTCCCACTGAATGGAAGTTGCAACTCTTTTAAAGGAGAGTTGCATAGAGCGATCAAAAAAGAAAAACACACACACACACACAAGATGGTAAATAGAGGGCAAATCATTTGGATGATGGCTGGTTTGCTAGCCAAAGAAGAAACAAGAAAGCGAGGAAGAGAGCAGGTCGAGTAACGATACAGAATGTTCTTGGTTTTTTTTTTTTTGGAAAAATTAAAGCAAAAAATTAATGGTAATTTAAACAGGTGGTGCCAATAAGGTCGTCCGTTCGTTCTTTTCAAAATGACTGCCGCTAGCATTCCCGATGAGGGATTAAGAAACCCCATGCTATTAGATAAAAGGTAGCCGCTGTATGATCAAGAAGAAAATCTACACAGATGTCATACACGGCCCAGCATAATTTACAATGAAGTGACCACTAGACCACTTGGATAAAAGATAAAAATCGAACAAAACAAAAAAAATGAATTCATGAGGAAAAAAATTACAGTCTTGCTGGTTGAAGTAAATCAATGCTACTCAATTAAAACTTCTAGAACTACTACAAGGCCTTACGATGAGCTTCCACCGTTAACTTGTTTCATCAATCTCATTCCTGCTCCATTGCTTGCCCATGCAAGAATCGTGGGTCTCCGTCTGTTTTGAGGGGAAAAAAGTGCAAGAATTTCAGAGAAACTAATATGAATAATCAACAAGAGAGCCAACTAATTGTCACTTGCTTCATCATAGTTTACTCATCCTTCTATTCCGAAAAAAAATTGCGCTTTTGACTTTTCACATAATTTTAAAAAATTATTAATTATTATGTCATATCAATATTCTTCTCATGCTTTCTTAAAATACTTTTTTTGTTAAAATTGTTAGTTATGAAATTTAATCATGCATTATATAGAACTAATATTCAAAAAATCTATCCAAGATTAAAATGATAAATTAAAGAAACAATCATTAAGTTAATTAACAATCAAGTTTAGAACAATTATAAAAAAAAACTCACTAATAGAAATATTTTACTTCTAAATTTTCGACATATGGTAAAATCCCAAGAAGGATGAATATTTTTCGTTTAACAAAAAATTTCAATAACAAAAAATTTTCTTTTAAAATTTTTATGTTAAAAATATTTGTATGTATAAAGAATATCGATTTTTTATCAATTAACAACATGAAATAGAAAAAGGAATAGATTTTCTTTATCAATTGGAGGTACGTTTGAAAAGTATATTATTTAAAATTTTGACCAGACAAGCATTTTGAGACAGATAAAAATAGAAAGAAGCACAATGTCTTGTCTTTGAGATAGGGGGAGTAATATAATTAACTGACGGGGTCCAAGCAAAGACTTCCATTGGCACATGCTTTAGACACCAAGTAGGTTTTAACTGCTCATTCAAATTATTTCCAGCAATCCATAAATAATAATAATGATAATAATAAATGCCCCACTTACTGGTACCCCTGATGTTATTTCCTAGAGAAAAGGATACTGCATCTTTAACTTATTAAGCATGAAACAGTGGATCTCAGGTAAATGGAGTGTATCTTTTCATATTCCACATTTAATCATTAAAAAAGATAATGACCATAAGAAGCGATGGAAAATTAAAAGTTTTCCTAAAAGCAAGAAAACAATAATCACTAGTTGCCCCCCAAGTCAAATTATTCACTTAAACACAGGATATTGCCAGCTCCAAAGAAACAAAATATGCAACAAGATATAAAGATATCTAAACGCGTATTTATTACCACTTTCTCCATCAGATGCATCTGCAAGCCTTGCAATTGCATCAACAAGTGCTTGTTCATGTTCCTGAATCATAAAACCAGTCAAGTCTGCAGTTCTGAAAAACTAACAACAGTTAAGTCTGCACTCAGCAAGATATACAAATCATCTTACTTTTAACATCTTTTTTGCCTTCTCAAGCTCAAGAGGATCGGGATAACTGACACCAAAAACCCTTTCCACCTGTTTAATGTTTCAACAACAAATGAACAAGGTAATGTTTACACATAACAAATGAAACAGATTCCAAGCTACTTCACGCACCTCCTTAACAAGGGCCTCTGTGTTGAGTAACTCAATATTGTCAGAAAGTTTCCTTGCAATACCATTCTGTGTTAGAAGAAATTCTCTTTTTGATTGATCCTTAGTGGATCCCCTCCCTCTTACAGAACTTGAAATAAAACCACCATGGCTCATAGATTTTTTCATTATATGGCTTGGGCCGCCATGAGAAATTCCCAGATCCCCAACTTCCCAACGAAGGTCCTCTGGAGCCATCTGTAAAAGAACAATAGACCATTCCTTTTTTTGAAAAAGTAAAAGATAAACATGGATATATAAATCCACAACTAAATCAAATGGAAGCCATGCCGAATGCCTCCCCAGAGAATCTCAGGTAAGAAACAGAAGGGTTTGGTCCAACACAAATTTCAGGTCCCCCCCCCCCCCAAAAAAAAAAAAAAAAAAAAAAAAAACCAAAAAAAGCCTCTACATTTCCTGGTTCTTTTTCCATTTTTTTTCTTACACAGTATCTAACAATTTTCAGAATAAAAAATTTTGAACATTATACAAGCAATTATTAGGAATCGGAAGAGGAATATATAATTCATCTTCTCCCCACTCATCAGACTGGAAGGTATATCTTCAACTCAAAAAGATGCTTAAGACTGCAAAACCAACCCAACCAACCTCATACAAACAGAAATGGAGATAAAGATTGCATACACTCAATACGCGATCAGCAGAAAATCTCTCTCTAAAAGAGTACCCAACTTTCGAAGAAAAACTACAAAACCATGCATCAGCAGCCCCATCTTCAACCTATCAATAGACTCATTGTTCACCAGCCATATCAATCCCATAACAAGATTCCAACCTCAGAATTGATTTCTTTCTTTTTCTGTGCATGTCTGGGTGTGCACTACAGGAAGTTTCAAGGTGCACATTTTGCATGCATGTGAAATAATCTTGGCAATAATGTACTGATCTACAAATTCTATCAACTTTGTGTATAATGACTGCTGCTAAAAGGTGGTGGCTAAGGAAGTAGGAGGACCAGTATTTTAGCTCATGTGAAATACTATAAAATTACCTCATTGAGATCAACCCATTCCCACGTCTCATTTTCTGTATTCATATCATAGACAAGAGCATGTCGGCCCTGTAAATTATCAAAATCTAGTCACTAAAGCTGAACATCCACTGACTAAAAGAACATATTGAAAACAGTACTAAACTGTGAACATGCATGGAAACATAACAGGAAAGTATCTATGTTTTAATCAACACAAATTAACAAAATATGGTGACAGAAGAAATATAAAAAGAAGAGCCTCATAACAACAGACACATGAGTAATAAAACCTTGAGAAGGCCATTGCTTTCAGGACATGCCAAAAATATCTTTTACTTGTTACCACCATTCATTCATTCGGATGCGACTCAACAGGAAAACATGCCTTTTAAAACCTTGAACATACCTCAGCAGGGTTATAGCGAGTTATGACAGCCTTGTAGAAGTTGTTGTCCTCGGGCCATCTTGTCCACACTTCTTTTCCAATTTCCTTATCATCATAGGCTGAACCACGGTTCGCGAAATGTTGATTTCTGGGAGGACCAGTGGGGCACTGCATAGAATTACATCAAGGATAAATTAGGGTGCGGTTGACCCAACAAAAGAAAATGGAACGAGGAAACACAAGTAGAGCCAATACAGTTCTACAGTTACATCACAAAAATCAGCATACTGAACTAGGTTTTCTACTATGGGATTAGCAGCTTTTCACTTCGCAGCTGAAGATGATAAATGTTTGGATCAAGGTAATGATGAAGGTCACAAAGACAGTGTCATTGCATGAATACTAGAGAAAATACCATTAGAGATGTCTTCTGTTTTTTACGGGATGCAGAAACAGTGGGACTGGGCAAAACATCACGAACAGACTGTGATACATTGAACCTGGGAGCTTGCTGGCCACCCGCCTCTCTCCACTCCCTATACCATTACTGAGACTTTAGTCATTGCATACAAGTTATACTGATCATCAAATTTTAGCATAAAGCATTCAAACCTTATCCTTTGAATGATATCATCTCTATTGACCAATGTTAAGATCTCTCTGTGTTCATCATCTGACACCCTAAGCTCTTTTCTAAGTTCTGTAATCAAACCCTCCTTATCCTGAAAAAAAGACATCACAGAACATCTAAATATTATCAGATATAGGAATGTTTCCCCATTTTTTGACAGGGACAAAAAATTACTTCTGTAAGTATAAAAAGATACACCAACAGAGAAAGTCAATACCCAAGAAAGTTGATCTGACTGAGCCTTAAAAGCACTAAGTACAGCCCTATAAGCCTCTTGTTCAAGGTGATGAATTTGGGCCTCCATGTCAGCTTGCACTCTAGAATATGTTGCAGAAATTAAAGCAGATTGTCCACTTCCTGAAACTCTTCCTCCTCTTACAACTCTATTTTGATTTGATGGTGGGAGATCATCATCAGTACCTGAATTTTCCAGACAAAAGTTACATGACATTATAACACAAAGAAACGAACACCGAAACTCATAAAAACTAAGTGATAATATAGTTGATGATTGTTAAGGCAAATTCATCCATCAAACATCCATAATTCTAGTCTTTTTCCTAATCCAATCTTCACACAACATAACAACTTCACACACAAAATTACATTAGAAGTTCAAAACATTGTGATATAAATAAGGGTGTGTTTCTTTAACTTAAAATTCTATAAGCACATGATTACATATTCAATAACATTTGGCAGCAAGTGGCACAATCTAAGGCAAGTGAAAGAAAAAACCAGAATAAAATTCTAAAGCTAATTGCATTCCAAAAATAATCACGCTCTCAAAATTCAACTCAATCTCCAAAATGAAATATATATTGCGCATTCTAACCCTAAACCCTAATTCCTCCAAAACCCACGTTCCAAACGCCCTCTAAAATCTAAATCACAAACTCACAAAAACAACAATAGCCCAATTAAGTTTATGAAATTTAAAACCCTAGGCCACAAAAACCAAACCCACATATATTTTTTTTAAAAAAAATACAATAATCCTTATAAGAGAACAAACTTTATGTTGAATACAAGGTAACAGAAGCAATTCAGGAAATTAAAAAATAAAAACAAAATAAAACAAAGAGAGAAGGAAACAAAATAACATACCACTACTGTCTGAAACTTCATATTCCATAACAAGAATAATCACATGAAATATGCAATCTTTTCTATTGCATTGCTATTCCCGAATCAAGACTTAAAATTAGAGAGACTTTTCAAAAAGTAAAAAGTGGGTTTCTTCAAAAAATCTTTTGAGGGAGAGAAGGGTTTTGCAGGAAAAGGAGAAATGGGTTAAGAGAGCAGAGAGAGGGAGGGAGAGGAAAATGAAACGACTTTTTATAGTTGTTGAAGTATAGGCTTGGGTCTGCTCTAACGGCTGTGCGCTTTGGGTCATTATATAGAAAAACTACTGGGTCTGTTATTGGCGGTGGATGGTGAGTTAATTTACTTTTTACTCGCTAACTAAATTTCAATTTTGCATCTTCATATTCCACTTCTACACCTGAATTTTGTATTACCTAATGTTACCTTTCTAGTTTTCGAAATTTTCAATGTTACCCCTAACAATTAAATAGCTTCTTTTTTTTTTTTTGAGTTTTTCACTTTTAATGTTTCTATGAGATATTATAATATGCATGGGATTTGAGAGGAAAATTTATGGGAAAATACAATTAAAAAATGAACAAAAGCGGGAGTTTTGTTAGTTATTAGGCAAGATTGAGAAGTTTTAAAAACTATAGGAGTAATATTAGAAAATTATAAACTACATGATAGAAGTGGAATATTGATGAATCTAAAAGGATAAAAATATAATTTAATCCAATTTTAAAAGTACTAGTAACGGAAAAACAAAACAAATTAATTGATTTTTAATGGGTTCCATTCCATCTAAGATATGAAATAAAAATTAAATTGATTATGTAGGTCATCACTCTCTTTTTATTTGGTTAAACTTATAAGTTTTGCGAATTCTTTTATTGGTGCTGTATTTTTTTCTATGAAACAATTATTATGCATAGAAAAAAAAATTGTTGCGTGAAAGAGTTTTATAATCTTGGCATTGAATTATTTATTGACTTATTTATTATAGGAAGATAAGATAATATTATTTTTAATTACTACTACAAGTTTCAATGAGTAAATTATAGATTAGCCCCTCTAATTTTGTAAAAATAAATTAAATAGTTTTTTAGTTTTAAAAATTAATTAATTAATCTTTTCGTTCATTTTATGTCTTTTTTTCTTTCAATTTGCTTCTTTTTTTTTTTTTAAGAAATAAAAATAAATAGATATTACGAGAAGATGGATGAAAAATAAGACAATCTTTTAAAAAAATTAATAATATTAAACTAAACACAGTTTAAAAAAAATATTTAATTAATTTTATAAAACTAACAAGAGTAATTTATAATCTCCTCAAGTTTCAATATTAATTAATTTATGAAAAATTAGAGTATCCGGACAAAGTTAACACACTCTCATATAAATGTCTTTTTTTTTCCCCCTTTAATACGTATCCACGACATTCTGTCTCAAAGTTCTTAAAAACATTTCTAAGACTCGTTTAAAGCAAAAACTTAAGTGGCACTTTGGTTTTATTTCTAATTTTGTTTTCAAATTTCTAAAACCAAAATCACGATTTGTTGTCGGGCACATGCTAGATCTACGATGCACCGGGTTTCAGCTGAGGCCCATGTCCAGGATTTCGATGGTTGGGTCAAAGACTGAATGTTCGAGGGCTGGTTTAGGGTCTGGCTTAGGATGGGGTTCACGAAGTCCAGGGTTAGCACAAGACCGATTTGGACCCCTACGAAGTGGGATTGGGATCAAGTTCATGGGCCTTCATGGTTATGATAGGATTCAATCTACCACCGCTTCCAAATTTGGCTGAGGACTAGATCTAGAGAACCCGAATGTTGGGTTGGAATCAAGCTCGAGACATTCGAAGGTCGGCTCTCAGATCTTCGAAACGATTGGGATAGATTTGAATTTACATAGAATGGTTAGCAAATAAAGGAGATTCGACACTTATTATATATAAAAAAAGGAAAAGGATACAATAAAATGTGCTAATTGTGAATATAGGGCTTTTTTTTATTAGATAATACTACTCGTATTGATCATTCATAAACAATTCGTATTAGATGCACAAATCATCAACCCAATCTCATATATAATGTTAACATAAGAAGAACTTAACATGGAAACAAACAAGATAATAATCCAATAAGCTTCAATCCGACTATGATTTTATCTTTATTATTCCATCAATCTTTAACAAAATCTTGACCATACATCAATCCTTCGTGTCTCTCAAATTTTCTTGAAAAAGAAAAACATAAACACAAAGAGTACTAATAGGTCTTTTGATATTAATTTTCTTGACAAACAACCTCACATGTGCATAATCTTCGATTATGTCCTGCGAGTTGGCATGCTGCTTGGCACCATATTTGCTTAAAAAATCAAGAAAGCATTGGTAACGACCTCGCTCACCACATCTTCCCGGGAATGTGTCCTTCTTACGGCACCATTTAGGATCCGTTGTATTTTGAAAGAAAAAAGAAACACACATATTTAAATTAGTTTGCCAAAAAAAACTTTTTATAGAACCTTATCCGAACAAATTAACAAGCACTAATAGTTTTGTGAACAAATTTACCTTGAGTATGAGTGAAGAGACTCGATAGCATAATACAAAAAAAGAAAAGAATGATGAGTGGCTTCACCATTCTTTTTTTTTTAATTGTTATTTTTTATAACTATAACTTGTTTTATGCGGGATGCTGAATTTGTGCTTGTAATAGGCATATATATATACATATATAGAGGTATTTGTTGGCTAATTTGGTAGCAATTTTTTTTTTTTGGTCGTAGTATTTATTTTTATGGAAAAAAATAGGTGTTTTCCTATTTAAATTATTATATGATCCTATTGAAAATAGAACTTACCCGTCATCATTATCTTTTTCTTAAATTTTTCTTGGTTGTAAATATTTGTTTATATGGTAATAAAACTAGGTGTTATTTTATTTATTTATTTTTTTTTTGTAATCTATTCATTTTTTTCTTGTGAAATTTCATGACGAGTATTATTTGCATTGCACCTCCTCAATTCAGCTATATAATCTTCAAGCTTTCGAAACTCATTCTACATATCTCCAGCATACATAAGATTCATCAAATTCTTGGCATGCTTGGCTTGTGAAATTGTAATATGTACTTTCAAATATGTCGTAGTGTCTTGTACAATCTTATGCAACTTCTTTTCCAATGCGGTTCTTCCTAACTTTTTCATAAAATGCTCTACAAACACTTTGTAACTAACCATAGAATTTGTGAAAGATCAATCACAAGTGTTCTCTCGCACAATAGGTCTTCACCATCCATTTTTTACTTTTCCCATCAACGAAATCGGTAGCTTATAAGGATAACTTACATCTTTGCAAACCGTTCTATATCTATAACTATCATTCTTCCGAAGCTTCAAATCTCTCCTATTATGGATGGCATACTTAATCATAGTAGCTTTAACTTTCTTCTTGTTCCTAAAAATCATGCAAGGCTGAAAATGAGGAAACTCGGTTGTTGGGTTATACCTAACCAATCCGGTTCTCTTTCTAATCCCGAGTTCTTCATCACTGCTAGGTATGTATTCTTCCCTTTCTTCGAATTGTAATACTCCTCATTCAATTGAGCTTCTAGTTTTGCCAACTCTACTCTTAATTTTCTTCTCTCCTCAAAATTATTTTCTCTATTTTCAGCAAACTCGTCCAATTGTAGTTCCCTCCACATTTTCCTCCAAGTTTCCTTCTACAATTGCATTAATTTTACCCGAGATTCGCTTTTATCTTTTTAACCTTTTCTCTAACTTCTTTTGATTCCTCATCATCGGATACCCACTCTACATTCACCTAATATTTAGCATCTTCAACATCATCCTACGACTCCACACTTGTCTCTTTATGAACATTCTACCTAATCCCACTAAATTGGACATTACTACCCTCACCGATATTCACCACACCTTGCCTACTTATATGGGCTTTACCACCTTCATCTTTATGAACATTCCGACTAACCTCACTTAAATGGACAAGCACTACCCTCATCTTTATTAACATTCCGCCTAACCCCACTTAAATGGATAGTAATACCCTCATCTTTATTAACATTTTACCTAACCCCACTTAAATGGATAACATTACCCTCATCTTTATTCATCACATCATGCTTACCTATATCGACTTTACTATCCTCGTCTTATTGTTTCATGATACCGTAACCCTAACTCGTATGGACAAGTACTACCCATAAAACTAGACACATTTATTTCTTCAATTTCATCATCATCTTCATCTTTCCGCTCACAACTAGGGTTACCAACCCACTCGCCTATGTTCATTGATTCCAAGCCTACTACATACGACTTTGGGTTATCATAACAAAGCGAGGGGTGTATTGACTCACTTTTCTCAAAATATAAGTCAATAATAATTTCATCACACAACATTTCTATTGTAGGTAAATAACTAATATCATCTTTCACTTCCTTAATACTCGTTCAAAAGAAAATTTAGGATCAACATCTCTATAAAACACTACCTTAGACTTCTCATATCCATGTTCCTCGACCATATCTAACAAACCTTTAAGGCCTATTAAGTTAGGGTCTATATTTTCTCTCTCAATAATCTCCTCTCGCACTAATAGACAAAGTGAGCCTTTTTCATAATTCAACCCCAAAATGAAGCCTTAATTTAGACATTTCACTTGATATTATTACCGAGGAGACATAAAGGCAAACAAATAAAAAAACAAAACAAAAATTATAAAGTATCCGGATAGACAAAACATAAACAAATACACAAAATCCATTGAATTCAATAAACAACAATATTGACAAAACTTATAACCGATAAATCCAAGGTAAGACAAGTACTTTGCATAAGCTATTCAATTCAAAACCTAAAACCCATAACAAACAAAACCAAGATAGGTAGTGTTTTCCATAAACTATTCAATAAAAAATTTACAACCCATAACCGATAAAACCAAAACCCATGACTACAAAACCAAGATAAGACGAGTGTTTTTCACAAGCCATTTAATTCAAAACCCAATACCCATAACCGATAAAAATAAGATAAAGCATGTTTTTCATAATCTATGCAATTCAAAACAACAATATTCATACAAACCCATTCAAAATACACTTGCTTACCTTATTAACCCCGTACAAACCGATAAAGATGCCAACAAAAGATGTCCAGTTGAATACACTACCAATATCCTCCTTCATGGATAAATCATGATAAAGAATTAGGGTTTTTCTTAAGGTTGAGAAAGAAAAAGATGAAACGAGACGAAGACAATATGACACAAAGAAGATGAAAGAAATCTTATCGGGAGGGAAAACGAAGAGAAGGAAAATTTCAAACGAAGGAATTTCAAACAATCTTGTTAGTAAGGAAGACGAAAAGAAAAAGAATTACAAACGTTGGAGTGTTGATAAATCTAATGTCCGTTCATTTGGTTTATTCATTTAGTTTGGGATTAAATGGGTTGGGTTAATTAGGTCTTTTCACTTTTTTTTATTTCACTCTTTTTTTTTATTTTACAAAATCATTTAAAACTATTTTTATTTTCATTTGATTTATATTAACATGACAAGGGGCTACATTGCCACATGTCGTTGTCTAATTAGACACTCGTTAATTTTAGCTTGCCACATAAGATGAACAATTAACGGCTTCATAACGAGAGGGTCTCAATCAACAAATTTATAAGAGCACAAGGTTTCAATCAAGTTGAAAAGTATTAGAGGGCCTCAATAAAAAAAATTGAAACTATGTAGGGACTAATTATAGGGTAAACCCGATTGTTAAATTTAGATAGCAATCAAAGGAAATTGGACCATTCCAAAGGCTAGATTCTACAAAACTAAGTAAAGGATCAAAAAATATATAAAAATTATAAAATAAAAGAATGTAAATGCAATGCAAGCAATATAAATATATAAAAGAAATGTAAATGTAATGCAAATGTGAATGTAAATAAAATTAAAATTTACGAGCGGCAGAGCCGACCACAATTAATGGAATGTAATTAAGAAAACAAAACGGGTGGTAGAGCCGATCATCGATTATTGTAGAAATGGAATTATAAATAAAAATTTTATTTAAAGAAAATACTTACAAGAGAGAGTTGTACAAAATCTCGATTATTGGGAGATACAAATTCTAAGGCTTTAGAGGGGTGGTTACTCAACACATGAGCTTCCTAATGATCTAAGGGATAGATGGAGAGCTTTTGTGAAATGGAGAGCTTCCTTGTCTTGAACTTCTAAAAGCTTGCCAACGAAAGTGATGGAGTGACCTATTTATAGGCCTTTGGCACGACAAAGTTGTAAAATGAGAATATTTTTTGTCAAAGTTGTGATGATTACTTTCTTGAAATGGAATTTGATGATGTAAGTGGAGGTAAATGTGACATCATTTTTTTAATTGATTTTTTTTAATTATTTTGTTCAAGGGAAATTGATTAAAAGAATGTAAATGCAATATATATATATATATATATATATATATATATATATATATATATATCAAAAATTGATCTTCTCAACAATATTTAATAAGGGTAAAAAAAATTTAATTTTTTTTAATACTATGTAATTTTTTAATTAATTCTTGTTTTATTTTTTCAATGCAATCTTATAGAAAAAAAATTAAATTTACACATTTTTTTGTATTTCGATTAATAATTATATTATTACAAATTCATGCATAAAGAAAAATAAATAGTATAAGAAGAAAATCTATTAAAAAACCAAAAGAAAGAATTAATAAATTATAATTTTTTGATTAAAACAATCATAAAATTAGGTGA